AATAGGGGTCATGACAATCCTGGTTACATGTGTTTCGTGGACCTGACTAAAGCCTTTGATCGCGTCAGACTGGGACATATGCGAAAATTACTTAAAGAAGAAAACCAGCCCAGCAGTTTAGTAGACATTGGAAGTAGATGTTAAATCTGGAATACGTCAGGGAGATAGCCTAAGCCTATTCAACTATTAATGGGCAAAATGATAGGAGCAAGAAAAAAGGGAAGACCCATTCTGATCTAGGATAATGAACATAACCTACACCGCTTGGCGCTCCTAAAACCAAATCGCTCCTGATAGCAAGGGATCCCAGACGATGCAAAATCGTAATTAACGGAGAAATAATCGAATAAGTGTATAAGTTCAAACATCTGGGAATGTAAATATCCAGCTACGGAGACCTAAAAGAATGTGTAGGCACGCTAATAAATTAGCTGAGGTATCAGGATGTTTAAGGAATGTTATCTGGAGGAATAAAGATATGATGGACGGAAAAATAAGCATATCTAAGTCACAAAGCCAATACTAACATATTCAATAGAAACGAGAGCTGAAACAGCAGAAACAAAGTGAATGGGAACATTAAGATCAATAACGGGCAAAACATTGAGAGGCAGAATCCCAAACATTCAACTAAGGCCACTATGTAGGGCATAGGTTATTGTACGATAGGGAAGACAGAGAAGATGAGAGTGGAACTAGCATGTTGCACGAATGGACGGCCAGATAATATCAAGGGATCTAAAGAAACCAACGGGTTCCAGAACTCCAGGACGGCCCTTTGAAAGATGGAGAGGTAGCTGGCAGCCTACGATACAAATACCCCTGCAGCAATAGAAAAAAGAGACCGGAAAACAACAGGCTCATAGAAGAGGCCTAATATAAGAAAAAAAAGAGAAGATTATAAATGGTTTTACTGAAAGTTTTTTGAAAATAAAGTTTGCGCTTTTCAATACATAAGATTGACCTGAAGGGTCAATAGCATCAAGTCAAACCAAGGTCAAGCAGTATTTTAATATTAAAATGCGGAATTTTCATTATTTTTAGTTTTCACCTATGATTTTCTTTTTTAATACTTATCTTACTTCTTCAGAGCGAGAAGAATTGAAATAGCTTCAGCGCTCCAACTGAACGAAACTCAAGTGAAAATCTGGTTTCAAAATCGAAGAATGAAGCAGAAAAAAAGGATGAAAGAGGGACTGATCCCACCTGAGCCTATTGCCAACGTGAAGAGTACCAGCAGTTCTCCAACATCGCTCAGCACTTCGGTTCAGCCCGACTTTGCTTCTGGAAGCAATGAGAACAGCAGAGAGTCCAATAATAATTGACTTTTTGAAAATATAATTTTGTTTAGAAAATTGCGCCATAAGGATTATGATGGTAATCGTCCTGTTATAGTGCATTAGGGCTGTTTTTTGTATTTGCAAAACGGCCGTAACTTTCTGGTTTTTGTTTTTCAAAGTTCCCTTTATACTGGAAATTAAATTAAGTACAATGTAGCGAAAACTTAATTTGAAAACATCAATGTTAACGTACCGAATTTAATTTGTCTTAACCCAACTGATTTAAAACTAATTCTTGCAAGTTTCAAGTTTTAAGTTTATTGCTGTGTTAAAACTATTCAATAAAAGCTACGAAACAACTAGCTGTGGTCATGAACGACAACTACTGAAATGCTTATAAAAATGTAAAATATTTTATCTCGGTTTATCACTGTTTATGACGCACGCTTGTTTAGGAAATTGATAGGAATTGTTCAATCAAAGTGTTCTCTAAATTAACCTTGTAATTTATGTAGGTATTATGTGTTCCAATAAAGTAATTTGCATGATGAAAAGTAAACGTTAAAATCGCCAAAGACTACTTCTTGACGAAGCTTCAAGTGATAAAACTGAAATTATATTTAAG